GCATCAAGCATGCTGGCCACTTCCCTAGCAGTCAAGTTCATTTTGTCCTGAGTGCCATTAGCCATGTGTTTGGACAGCTCCTCAAGTCGAGTGTAGGCAGGCATCTTAGACATTCCCTGGGTCAGGTTATACAACATCCAGCCCTTCCACATCACCTGCTCGGGATACCCCTTACAGGCCTCTGTTGTGTAACCTGCCATCTCATTCATCATGGACATGACGCTGCTCTGGGCCACCGGTGAGAGATTCTGTCGGCTCAGACAAGATGTCAGCTCGGCAAGAGCTTCACAGAAGACAGGGCCTGAACCAGTCGGGGTACATCAGGGCTCTCTTGAAGCTGGCTATGTAGTCAAGGTTACAGACTGCGACACCCATTGTCTCATCTCCAAATAAGGCAAGTCTACAATAATGAACATTAGCATCATAATTGTAAAATTTGAGTTAATCAATTATTGTAATCAATTTATCAAAGAAATCTCTTGTATAAACACTGTCATAAATTCTATTCTACTTTGTGATAGACTTACTGTACAGCATTTTCCATTTCTGTTGTTACATTACGTAGTACAGGTGACAAGCTAGCAAACACCACCTCTGCTGTCATGTTCTGGGTCTTCTGTGCGTACTTGGCCATCAACATGGAGTTGAGAATGCCTGACATTGGTTTGTTATCTCTCTCATTGTCCATCTTCTGCATTATGTTGTACTCCATTATCATCTTTGCAACCATTTCCTCTGTCATCTTGTACATGTTCTACAAATGAAAAGCTTGTTTTTTTTAATCTATCAAGTATTGGAAACCATTTTAAAATTTTTTAGAAATCTCACATCTTTCAATGGAATAGTTATACATGTAATCTCAATGTCATTTCATTACATTTAAATCATTCAAAGTGTGACATCCATATAATGAAAGAACCTGTATTCAGATTTCTGGCAGAATACTATTTTTTGTGTAAATATTCATGTACTATGTCTCATTTTATGAAAAATGTTGAGGATGGTTCAAGCTAAGGAATAAAATGTTATGCTTTACCTGGTTATTCTGGAAAACTCTGCTGAGTGCACCACATCTCATGGTCACACTGGCCATGACATCAAATACCATTTTAAACACAGGTACACCCTGGGCTACTGCACATCCTGAGGTGTGGTTAGCAATGCAACCCAAAGTGGTCATAAGGTCTGACCTGTTTGCACTTTTGAAAAAAAAAAAGCAAAAATAATTGACTTTTTTACCTTGACACCAGTGAAATGGATATATAACTCAATTGCTAATGCAGTAAAAATAGTCTCTTAATTTACTATATTATTGTCAATAGACTTTATAGCATTGATTATTACAAAAAGTGTGGAACTTAAACATCACTTACCTGCACATTTCACTTTCTGAGATAAACCTGCCAAAGCAAGCTGCTTTAGCATAAGGAATATCACAGACAGGCTCAGGCATGGGTATAGGACTACACATCTCATGCATCATGTTGGAGATAGGGCAGTGTCTGATGAAAAATCCCATCTTGTTTGTCATATTTCTCATTACTTGATGTTGAATAGTCTGACTGCATCCACTGACCTTGGAACTCATACAGCGTGATGCTAAAAATAGCTCCCTGAAAAAAGGAAATTACCTTTATATAACTACAATTTTTTATTTACAAATACCAAGTCTCTAGCAAATACTACAAAAGTGTATATAAAATAATTATTTGAAATATTTCATCTGGGTCATTATTTAAAGTCTGACATTTAAGTAATAGTTAATGAGAGAATTCTGAAAAGATATAATTCCACACAAAACATACATGCAGACTTGATCATAATCCCTTGGCCGGGCTTTCTTTGTGGCCTCCATCTTCTCCATGTCTGACATCATGACAAGACTGTGTAACATTTTGTGTTCCTCCACACACTGGGAAATCTCTTCCACTTCACACTTGGATTCTTTGTTGTCACCTAACATCATTCGAGACATCATCTCACAGGTCGCGTTATCTCGAGCCATCATTCCAGGACAGTAGTCATGACCCAGAATCTGCATGATGGTTTTGAGTCCGTCGTACACAGCTATAGAATCGTACTCGGAGCATTTGTTGTGAGCCTGGGCAGTCCTGATCATGGTCAAAGTGTTATTTAATTCACTGTAAATAGAAAATATCCACAGGACTTGATTAAGGACATCATTTAATAAATTGATACCTTAATTAATATGATAAAAGAGAAACACATTTAATCTAGTATGTAAAAATATCTTCCTATTAATTGAATGAAACAAAAAGCATGATTTTCTAAAAATAAAAAGAAGGGAGCCATTTTAGTACTCTGAGCTTTCAAAGTGCATTTACGTGTACAGAAATATTTTTGCTGTGCTTCATAGGTGCAATCACTCACTAGCAGATAGCTGCGCGGGAGATGGCCGGTTTGTTGATGGCTGTAGCCAGTCCTATAACACTGCGAAGTCCACACTCGTACTGACCCGGGTCACCAGAACAAGCGCCCTCTAGTGCTGTACGCTTGATCAAGAATCCTAGCTGACTGGCAGCCTGGTGGCTGCGATGAGCACAGCGAGAGGTGTGGTAGTCCATACACCACGAGGCCTTGTATACATCCCTGACAAAACAGACCAGAAGTCTCTGTCGAGACTGAAGCTCTACTGGTTTGTACTTATAGCAAAGGAAGAGAAAAGTTCTTAAGAAGTTGGGAATTGAAACTTTACCACAGCAATAAAAAGAATAATGATCCTCCATTAAGTCTCTTTATGTTCTTAGTATAGTCTACTTGCATGCCACATTATATTAAAATCAGACCAAAACTGTAGGAGGAGTAGCATTTTGAGATTTTTTAACAGAAATGTCTAATTTTAGTTACCATGGCAACACCGTTCATCGAAATCAAAACCCAATATATAGAATTACGTATCTTAGTGTAGTCTACTTGTGTGCCAAGTTATATTGAAATCAGACCAAAACTGTAGGAGGAGTAGCATTTTGAAAGAATTTCATAGAAATTTCTATTTTTAGTAACAACGGCAACACCGTTAATCGAAATCAAAAACCGATACACAGAATTATGTATCTTAGTGTACTCTACTTGTGTGCCAAGTTATATTGAAATCAGACCAAAATTGTAGGAGGAGTAGCATTTTGAAAGAATTTCACAGAAATTTCTATTTTTAGTAACAAGGCAACACCGTTCATCGAAATCAAAAACTGATAAACAGAATTATGTATCTTAGTATAGTCTACTTGTATGCCAAGTTATATTGAAATCAGACCAAAACTGTAGGAGGAGTAGCATTTTGAAAGAATTTCATAGAAATTTCTATTTTTAGTAACAACTGCAACACCGTTAATCGAAATCAAAACCCGATAAACAGAATTATGTATCTTAGTGTAGTCTACTTGTGTGCCAAGTTATATTGAAATCAGACCAAAACTGTAGGAGGAGTAGCATTTTGAAAGATTGTTTACAGACAGACAGACAGACGGACAGACAGACAGACGGACGGACAGACGGACGGACGACGGACGCATTACTATAGCATAAGCTCTTCTGGTCTCTGACCAGTAGAGCTAATAAAATGTCATTAGAAATGTGTCCTGACTTCAGCTGTCCTTGTACTGAAATTACAATTACTCCAAGTTATTTCCAAAATATGCATGTTCAGTAATACACAGTCATGAAGAACCCAATAACAGATAATATCAATTATTGAATAAATGATTTGAAAAAAAAAAAAAAAAAAAAGAACCCAATAACAGAAAAGCGATTTTTATTCCTTGTAGTTTCTAAAATATATTGGAAGCTTAATGAACATAGAGAATTCCTGTATAACATGGTTTACTCTATCTTCTAAAAAAAAAAAAGCACATAGATTTACCTCATGTTGGGTGTTCTGTTGAGGATAAGGCTTGGCACAAGGTCCATTCCACATTGTATAGCCATGTATGGCTGACACATTGGGTCTTTTTCTAACAAATAAAATGATCATAGGTTAAAATAAAGAATTTACATAAAATACTACCCAAAAAAAATCACTTCTAATTAAAATTGAACAAGTGAAGACAATAATAGAGGAGGTTATAATTATATAACTTCTGTGCTGAATCTACCTTTGTGTGTAGTCATCAGTGGTTTGTTACACCAGCTTTCCATGCAAGTCATAAAGTGCATTCTGTCATCTTTATATTCATCGACAGGATAAGAACAACCCTTGTAGATCTTTCCATCAGCAACTGTGGTTGTACAACCTTGACCTGGCTCACAGGTCATGACCCCTTGTAGGTTACATTGCTCATTATTTGTCATTCCATTGCACTGGAAGCACTTGGTAGCTGCAAAAAGATTCAGCACAATGAATAAAAAAAAATAGCTAAGACATAGTTTTATTGTTTTTTTTTCATTCAGATTTACTTACTTTTGATTTAATTAAAACAATATCAAAAGAAATACTAAGCAGAAACAATTTCAAGAAATCATTAAGCAATATGATTAGACAGATTCTTACGTTCACAAACTGCTCCTGCAACTGTAAATAGTGCATGCATGGTGACATTCAAAGTGGCTCCAGACTCAGCTGGGATCAGATGAGTATACATCTCCATACACCTTGCTGCCTCAGCAAGCTCAGAGCAAGAAGACCATTTCTTCATCTTCATAACCTCCATTGATTTTGACAGGTATTCAATAGGGTAGTCAGGTGAGGTCATCATCTTCGTCATATCGGGCATCATCTCGCGGACTTTGTCTGCTAGCTCATCAACCATCCACTTCTGCATCTCCTCCTCCATTTCTTCCTCTGCACCTTCATCCTCCTTCATCTTCATACCCATCCTCTCCATGGTCTTCATGATCATGCCCTTAGCCATCTTGGCATAAAAGAACTGCAGCATCTTGGTACTATCCCCCATCTGTACGATTTCTTTGACAGCGGTTCTTATCAGGTACGAGTGGTTCAGCCGCATGTTGTGTTCCACCAGTGTTTTATTTATAGCACCAATGGCCATAGACAACACACTATCCTTATCATCCATACTGATCATCATTTCTACCTGTTCAACAAAGTCCATCTCTGGATGAACCAGCCCACTTTCCATCATGGTCAGTTTGATCAGTCCAGATACACTTGTCAGTACACCTTCCATTCCATGCATGTAATCATCTTTCTTCATACACTCTGGAGCTTTCCCAGTCAGTCTTCCCAGCCATCCAGCAAACATGGTCATGGCCTCACTTCTTGATCCATTCAGTTTATCTCCCATCTCTCTCCACATCTTCTCCTGTTGTGCGTCAGGTATGCTCATGTTTTGATCTCGGAAGAACTTCATGGTTTGAACCGCTGAGCCTACCTTGGCTAAATCTGCAGTGAGGAGAACAGAAGAGGCAGACTTCCAGAGGAAGGAGGTGACACAGCCCAGGGCTGGCATGGTTTGACAGATGTAGTCGAGGGTCTGTATAGCAGGGCGTAATGTGTCATGGAATCCATAGCTAGTTTTGGTGTCACAGTGAGAGAGTTTTTCCATCAAACACTTCTTTGTCTTTGTAGCAACCCTGAAACAGTTAAACATGGAGTCATGAAATCAAATTTAAACAAGAGATGTTTGTAAAACACTTATGCCCCCCTCCCCCCAAATTGGAATTTTTCCAAGTCCAAGGGGCAAAACGATTGTACCCAAAACAGAACTTGACCTAGATATTCATCCGATAAATCTGTACATACTAAATTTCATCTCAGCATGTGCAACGGTTGTGAAGAAAATAAACGGAAACTGCAAATAATTGGAATTTTTCTAAGTCCAAGGGGCATAACTCTGTCAACAAGAGGCCCATGGGCCTTATAGGTCACCTGAGCATTATGCAACAACTTTCCAGTGATTGAATTTGATTCATGTTTTAATCCAGATGCTATGGCATTCACAATTCTGAAATAGGCACCATTGATCATCATAACAATACACTTAGCAATTGCTTAGTTTGTTTACTTAATACCCATAGGCAGGGTAGGGGAACAAAAACTGCAGTTCAAGTAATCAGTAATATTCAGCATGATCAGTAATGCCCCAATCACACATGAACCCCTGACCCTTAGGCCTAGATCCACACATTGCACAATTTTTGAAAAGGCACCCTTGCTTTTCAAAAATATTTGATAAATACCAAGGAGCAGATTTCAAACAATTCATCCAGTTTCAGTATATAAGTACAGCCCCCCCC